AGTGAGATATACCAGTGGACATGTGCACATGTACTATTAAAATCTATCAGAATTCATCTCAGCTACAGGAAAATCATGTTCGTTAACTTCAAAAACTCAGACAACAGGCAGAGCCAGGAACAGAAAGAATTGTGTTGAAGTAGCACTGTAACATACCTTTATTACTAGGTATATATCCGATGAGGGATAAGTGACAGAAAATACTGCCGATCTTGCCTGAGTAGACAAGTCAGTGGAGGGTGTATGAGAACGCAAGAATCCTCTTAATAAATCAGAGTTGAGGTCACAATGAAAATTTTCTGAGATCTTGAAAAGAAAAAAAAATGAAAAGTATCAAAGCAAAAATGGATCAAATTTTATTCAGAAAATACTTCAAAGTAGTAACTAGAACTACAAAACAAGCAATAGCAAGTATGTGACTTTGAGTGAATAAAAAGAATCCTGGATCTGACTGCATGTGTGAAATAGTTGCACGTTTTCTGTAAGTTTTCCTAAATTATTAGTCCAGAAACAAAAACCCAAGAACACTGAACAAAAATACTATATGCATACTTACTTTTTTTCTTTCTTTTATATCATAGAGAGCTATGCATGCAAACAAAGGTTCAACCTCTATATCAAACCTGTTAAGGAAAGAGACACAAGACACTGATTAATACTGCACTTCTATAACTCTGTATAATAAAAAAGCGAAAAGGGTTATATTTCTACTGGCACTTCCACCAGAAAATAAGGATAAATATTTAGTTCCAGACCTCAGCTCTCTCAAAACCTAGAAGAATTTTTTATTAGTGCATTTTTTCACATGATTTCAAGAGGAAAAATAAGGGAAGTAAAATGCACACAATGTGTTTTCTAAATTTTTCAGAAAGGTGGTTTCAGATATCAGTCAAAAAGATCATACCTTTCTTGAATTTTTATCAAGTCTAGTAGTGTGTGGAGATGGAGACCAATCTAGCTTGTTGGAAATAAATAATCTGGGATAATTCCCAACTCCTTTCCACCCTGACAAGTTAAAGACTTCTGTAATGATGGATAAAACTAGTCCTCTGCTACACTAAGAAAGAACAAGCAAGCATGTACATGCTTGCTAAACAGGACACCTGCAGTGGTGCAGCGGGGTTGACAGCAGCACACTGATGAACTGAGAAATGGTGAGAAATGGTGAGCAAGGTTTGTGAAGGATACTTACTTCAGAGTCTGCATCTTCACCAAAATCCTGTTTCCCAGATGTTCCTTAGGGCGATCTGGCACCGGCCGTATCTCCACTGCATCGTCCTATCATCAAACAGTTATTCTAGTCATACTCAATTAAGACAACTGTAAATGTACATACCTACATAAAACCTTTAGGTGGTGCTAACTGGGCCCCTGCTACAGACTAGCACCTCCCCTGCACCCAGCAGGCATTTCACCTCTTCAGAGAGGAAACAAAATTGATTTCTATTTCTGAATATTTACACTTCTCTCCCCCAAGCAAGCACTGCAGCAAAGGGCAATACTCTGACACAACCATATCATCAGCATGTGGCTTGACCCGCACCAAGGGACATGTAACGAAGCCTCAGGAAACACCACGAGTCTGAGTACAACTGCCTGAATGCACATTCAAGATAGCTGACAGGACTCCATGGTGATGTTCACTGTCTTTTTATCCAAGGGAGATATGTTTCCAGGCCACAGACCCTATTTTTTGACTGTGGTGCAGCTTTAATCTTAAATATGCCGAGACAGCCAGCTGGGGGAGGCCTGTGGGCTAGTCAGCCTCCAAGCTCACCTCATCCACAGAGGGGTAGAGGGCAAGGAGCTCAGCGTGCCGGTTGGTGCGCCGTGCCTCCTCATTCTGCCTCTCGAACTCCTCGGTGCTGACGTGCTGCAGCAGGTTTTCCAGGCAGGGGTCCGGCTGCAGGCTGCGCAGGTTGAAGTCAGAGGAGGTAAGGGTCGTCCTCGAGGCTTCCTCAGGGAGCACAGGGGCGTGCTGGGACCCTGCCTGTTGGGAAAGAACAAAATGGTGAACTGTGGCTTGGACACATGAGGCATCTCTTGCTTGCCTGGCAGAGAAGGCCTTAATGCCACCTCTGCCATAAAGACTAATGGCAAGCACAGCTCTCTGCTTGATGCCACTATAGAGATCCTAGGAGGCTTCCTTTGAGGAAGGTTGCTGTAGTTGGTCATTTTTCCCAATGTAAAGAAAAGGTACCTGAAAGTTCGCATCACCGGAGTCCACAGTTTCTGATTCAAACGTTTGTTTTTGAAGCATCTTGTGAAAATCTTTTCGGGATCCCTTGTTTTTCAGGCCACACATATCTGAATTCCCTTGGTTCCTTTTGCAGAGAAACCCAAGCAAGTCAGGATGTTGCGAGGAGGAGTTAAGGGAAAATAAACAGAAAAGACAAATTAAAAAAAAATTAAGCAACTAGAAACATCACTGCACAAAAGGGCAGCATAGCACAGCTTTTGTGCAAAAATGTGGCATTTCACTAATTATCACTGCAACTCTATCACTGCAACAATGTATCATGTATATTAAGAATGGTTTTAAAATGAAGAAAATTCGTTCTCATCATCTTTGCATGGACCGTCAGACAGAGAAAGCAGAAAAAACTGACCTTGGTACAAATTAATCTCTGAGCTCCTCATCAGACACAGTGATTATTTCAATGTCCTAAAGAACATGGATCAGGGTCGCTTATCTTTTAGCTGGATCTTTTCTCCTGCGATTATACATCAATGAGCTTACTGCTCTTGTCTGAAATGGCATTTGGTCCAAGACATGTCCTGGACCTAGCTGGTATCCCAAGTTAACCACATACAACAATCTATACCTTTCAAACAGTGCCTTTTTAAAGAGGGCTATTGCTACGGCACAATATAAACCCTTCTCAAAATTTTACAGCAAGGTACCAATTTCAAGCTACATTTTTGTCAAAAACCAGCAGATACTCTGAAAAAAAAAAGATACTAGATGCGTCCAGAGCTCTATTTCTTCCACTTTAGTATGCAATTCACTAAATCCTGTGATGGCCATTTGGTAATAAGCCTCCCTAGTTACACTATCCTGCTTTGTTCATTTTTCTTTCCATGACACTCGTAAAGCAACATCTAAACATCTGAGTACTTTCATAAAGATGCCACAATAAGCAATTACTGATCAGGGAGATACTTCTTAATTACATTTTGGGAGTAACTGCTCTAATGTGTTTTAATTTCAATTGTCTGCATTTCAGTCATTTACCAGTTCACTGCAAATGAAAACTGAAGTCAGAAAAGAGACAGCCCTTGCTCTCCTTGGATATGACCTTGTTTTGGAACTGCCTTATCATTCAGAATGAAAGACACAAATTCTTCATGAGTTTATTTTAAGACTTTTCAGTATCCAAAAGAGGTTTTCTTCATTATTTTATCACTACATCCAATGGATTTATTTACCTGAGATCACACTTTCCTGTGAGGTACAAGCTACACTAGAGATGCACTTCCCTTAAAATATTTTATTTTATTTATATCATTTATTTATTTTTAAAAGCATGATAGCCATTAAAACTCACCAAGAGGCAAACCCTGGTTTTAGCACATGTATCAATTTAATGGTCACACACTGCATTCGGAAAATGGTATGAGGAAAAGAAGCAAAGGACTGTTGAAAGAAGAAACTGACAGGCACTGGAACCAGGTTCCCATTCAGCCTCTGGCAAAACCATATGAATCTCCCAGCTGTGTCCAGTCCCTCTGCCACATACCTCTTCACCCTGGGGCACAAGGAGCACCTCTACTCGTGCCACCACTGAAGTCTCTTTGCTCTGCTGCTCTGAATCTTCACAAATGGATGCAAGTTACTTACACGCTTCTCTCATCCACAGCTCACCAGACCGTATGTTCAGCCACCTGTCCTATGAATCTTCATCTCCTAAGTAGCAACTACAGGTTTTTCAGCCTTTCTCGAAACAATGGAAAGCTTTCTACGACTAGTCTCTTTTCTTACTTCCCTTTTGATGCCTTTTCCTTCTCCCATATCTGTTTTGAGCATAGTGTTCAAGCATAACATGAGAGTCTCAGTAACTATCACTGGTTTAGGCAACATTGCAGCCTCTTTTACACCATTTTGTTCTTTGTAATTTTTAATAACTTGCTTGCTCTGGTAGACACAGGCACCAAAGCTCAGCTCTCTGACAGGACCCTTCATCATGTCTACCTCAGACTCAGCGGCTCAATAAAGTTTCTGAATGCAAATCTGCCATACCTGAATGAATGAGACAGTAAAACACCCAACAAATCATGCATGTGTATTTCTACAGCTCCATTCACATTTCTACAAGCACACAGAAGTGCAAAAATAGCTATGTTCTACTTTTCACCTCACTTACTTTACTGTTCGCAGCTCGTCTGCAGGGACAAAACTGCATGCTGGCTCTCTACAGTGCACTCAGAACAACACTGTGTGAAAGATCTGGTGTCTGTGCTCTGAGTGGTGCAGGTGGACAGCCTGCAAAACCCACTAACTTATTTTTAGTGACTCACTCTGGAACAGTTCTGAGAACTGAATCAATTTCATCAGCACTCCTGAAGGAAGTCTCTTAATAACCCTCAGCGGTTGCTCCGTCTCTGCACTAGCTGCAGACAAAAAAAAACAATTCCTTTATGATCACCAGGAGTCAACCCATAACCCTGCTGATGTACATCAGGTCAAAAAAACAGAGTAGCAAGGGCGGGTGAAGGTGCACAACGACATGGCAGCAAATGTGTTGGCACTCCACCATTGGCTGCTACTACTGCTTCTCAAAAACAAGGCATGAGCACCGGAGGGGATGAACAGGATGTGGCGCAGAAAAACAGAGCTCCAAAAACCTCTTTCTGAAGAACAGAAGTGGGTGATGGGGAAGCAGGTGAGCTCCACTGGCACAGTGCATCCCTGAGAGTCTGGGGACAGACACCCATGGACAGAAAGCCCTGAATGACAGCTCCCTTCAGTTCTAAAACATGAAATGAAATGAAATGAAAACTTCTTTTTAAAAAAAGGCATTTAAATCACTTGGCTGTTCAGCATTCAGGTTCAGCACAGAATGACTTTGCCAGTCGTTACCTTAATATACTGATCCATGCCATGTAATACATAGCTGATTAAAAAAAGGAAAAAAAAAAGGAAAAAAAGAGAAAAAAAAATCAAACCTGTGCTTACTTCATGATTAGAATCAACTTCCACTCTACGATCACAGCTACAAAATTATTTTTCATACTACTCTCCTGCCCTTCTTTCTTATTCTTCCTAATCTCTGTCTACCTCACTTCTGCCACTACCAGCTAGCTCAGGAAGTTGTATAAGCACTTCCATAATTTCAAGTGTGCAAACAGGCCTAATAGAATCAATGACAAAGTTCAAATGTTTAAAGTTCAGAAAGTGCATAATGGATGGATGGACGGATGGAGGGATGGATGGATGGCAGAGTGAGGTGTCTGGATTGACATCTTCAAAACTATTTTTAAACCTGAAACTTGTGTGTTGAATTACACTGAACCCAAACACAGAAATCCCTTACTGATGTGACATAGTTTAGTTGGATCCTACACTAATAATCTCATGGATACAATCAACCACTTCTGGGAAAGCACATAATCCTTGTTTTTTTGCTATCACTGCCTTTTGTTTTCAGACACCATTAGAAATCAGACCATGTTGAATTTTCCAAGGGTATGAAGAGAAATAGGAAAACCATACAAATGCAGTATTCATCCTTGTTATCTTTCCTTTTAGTGTGATGAAATAGCCAGTTATCACAAATCAAAACTAGTGCAAAATGGTTATTTCAACAACAAATATAATAAAAACAGGAAATTCACTTTCCCAATACAACTGTGTCAGTTGTACAGTGCATTGAGTCTGACCTTTCATTAAAAAAAAATAATTTCCAGCACAGAGGCATATTCTGGTAGCATCTAGAAATCTAGCCACAAGTGGAAATTCTTGTTTCTGCTTGCAGTGGTTATCTAAATGTCCTGTTGTCTCACCAGAAATTCTGAAAGTTTTAGAAGCTGTGGTTATTTAGGAAATCTACAGCATTTGCAAAACACTATCACAAAAACTATATAAACAGCAAGCAAAGAGCCTGAAAGGCTTGAAAAACTGGACAGCCAATAGGTGTCTATTAAAAGCCTGGTATTAAGGGACAAGTCTGTGAAAACTCAAACTGAGTTAGAACTAGCACAGGACTTTCAAAACCCAAAATTATTCTTCCAGCATGAGATAAGAGCGGAAAAGAAGTATGGGATAAGGGGTTGAGACAGAGGATAAGCTACTCGTAGCATAAATATTGAGTAGAGCTATGAGTAGAGACTAAAAGAGCATGACATTTTTAGCTCAGCAATTTAAAAGCTGAGGTAGGATATGATTGCTGTCTCTCTGTATGCACAGAGGGTAAAGAACAAGGAGAGAGAAAACAGTTTTGGCCTAAGAAGAAATGGCAAGAAATTGGCTATGAATACATTTAGACTGGGACCTCTAAAATTATTGCAACTATCAGATGAGTAATCTATTAAGACAAGAGAAGTAACGGCTGCTACTATTTATGACTAACCTATGACTGTATAATGGAGATCAATCAGATTAGAAAGGGATTATGTAACTAAAAAGCAGGGACTCAACCTTAGAGACCAACACAGATCCACATGGCCGAGGAATAAAACTGGAATTACTTCATCTCTAATTTGCTCACAACCTTACGGCACAGAAATTTTAACAATCATCAGCATTCAAGAACTAAGCTTCCTATCGCTGAAGATAATGTCCTACCAAGTATATTATGCTTACCAACTAATTGCCTCCTAAGAATAACAGGAAGCACAATAAATGTAGTATTCCTGATTTAGATAAATCATCATTTCAGACAGTTGATGTAAATTTCTTCCTGAGTAATTTCCAGGGTGCCTGAATAATTAAGAAGCAGATGCAACAGTATTCAGCTATAGCCCACTGTCTCAAATAAAACAATATAATTAAATAAAGTACTGAAAAGTCAATTTTTGTCTTTATTCACTGATTCAAATCATTATTTGTTAGGACTTCTTTTAACCACACCCATCTCCTCTCTGTCAAGTAAAATGCAATGTATTTTCTGTTTTATTTACTTTTATATATCTTACTTTCGATTCACAATCAGCCACTCCCGGATATATGTCTGAACGCAGTCTCTGACATGTGAGTCCAGTTCAACCCTGGGGAAAACACAACATATTGTAAATATTTTAGTACTTAGGTCATACCTTAAGGACAAAGAAACTTACCTAAACATGCTGTTCAGATAGAGGCCTCTCTACTAGTTCTCTCCTGTATATTTATTTTACTGCCACACTATTGTTTGAGGTACAAAAAATTATATGTACTGCACGAATTCCCTGATGCAGGCTTTTGTTGCTGTGTTTATAAATAAATATAGCTTCAACAGAGGTAACCATTTGCCACAATATACTTTTCATTAATGTAGGACTGATGTTGCCATAAAATACTGCAAAATAAATTATACCAGCTACCTATCTTTGCAATATTCAGAACTCAATAACAAGTCTCAACACACAGACATATTTTTCCAGAGGCCTCAGATCCTAGGCTTTTGCAAATATGTTGTCTCTTGTACGTTTTTGGCATAATTTTCTTTCTCATAGAACTGGAGAAAATTCTAAAAAGAGACTCAAAGCTTATATGCAGGTAGCATAAGAAAAATTTAACTTTTGAGAATATGTTATAATTTAACTTTATTATTTTTAAATAAGTGTCTTTTAATGTAGGGAGTTGTCAGTGCTGCCTGATAGACTGGATACTGATTGGAATGGAAATATTATAAGCTAAAGTTGATGTCCATGAATTCGCTTCATGACATTGTAGCATAATTCCCCTACCCCATTCTAAAAAATTTTAGTGACCTGTACCAAAATCAGTCATTACTTCCTCCAGTCCAGGTGAGTAAAACAGCAGGATACACATGCAAAGGTGTGAAAAGTATGATAGATTTTTAGCACTTTGCACCCAGAACTCTTAACAGATTTGCAATCAATTACCAAGACTGAGTAATGACTGATTTGGGTTCACATATGCACTGCAGGATGGAGGTCTGGCTGATACCAGACTGCTGTGTGTCCTTACCACAGTGGACTGACACAGCACATGGTCACTCCCTGCATCTGGTTCAGATGGGACACGTTTGTAAGCAGACAGCACGTTAATTCATTTTGGTTTGTGATATCTGTTTCCTACTCTCATGCAGGAAGACACCACAGCCTGTATCATCTGCAGGCGAATCTTTGGTGCATGCTCCTCCTGTGCTCTCACCGTCCTTAACACACCCTGGCATCCTTGATCAGGATTTTCTGTGAAAGCAGAAATATCGACAGCAGCAGTGTGAACAGCTAAATGGGAAACTGCTGTGTAAAAAAATCTGCTGAAAGCCTATTTGTTGTTACTAACTATTCAAGCTTTGCCACAGACTCATTACAAAACCATTAATGCCAAAACCTGATTGTACAGCACAAGTCTACAGGTTCTCCTGCTGGAAAAACAAATAGGTAACTGTTGTTTGAAATAGCAGGCATGTGGGTAAGTGACCTTGGAAATATGTGTGTATTGGAGAGAAATGGTCATCTTATCTTTTAAATCTCATTTCAAAGCTAGATAATTTTTACTATTTTTGTGCATCAGTTAACTAATGGGAACTTTAAACACCAAAATACTCACTGTCTCACACATCCATCCTCTTTCCCCAGTCCACAGTAAAACAAGAATTCATTACAATGATTGGAACACTTTCTGTGAGTGACTTCAAGTGAAAAATCACCTTTTGTGCAAATGTTACTAAATCCCCTAGAAGCTGTATGACTTAGAGTTCTCAAATGTGGCACCTCCTCTACCCTATTTGCTCTCCTGAACTTCCTAAGAAATGCACTGGGGCAAGAAGGGGCTTGCAGGCAGAGAAGTCACTTAGAGAGAGGGGCTCTCAGCCAGTCCACAGCTGGCAAAACCCATATAAATTGCGGTTTCTGGTTAGCCTCATTGCCTTTGCTGCGTTGGGCAGAAAACACTGAATAGAGTTGTTGCATGGGGCTCTATTTTACACAGCTGGATGGTATAAATTAGAGCAGGCTGTAACAACCTTTGGAGGAACAGAAAGAGATGGTGGCCTGCCCTGTGAGCCAGGACACCATTAGCTAAGACTGCTTGTCCCTTCAGCATTCAGGTTCAGCACAGAATGACTTTGCCAGTCGTTACCTTAATATACTGATCCATGCCATGTAATACATAGCTGATTAAAAAAAGGAAAAAAAGAGAAAAAAAAATCAAACCTGTGCTTACTTCATGATTAGAATCAACTTCCACTCTACGATCACAGCTACAAAATTATTTTTCATACTACTCTCCTGCTCTTCTTTCTTATTCTTCCTAATCTCTGTCTACCTCACTTCTGCCACTACCAGCTAGCTCAGGAAGTTGTATAAGCACTTCCATAATTTCAAGTGTGCAAACAGGCCTAATAGAATCAATGACAAAGTTCAAATGTTTAAAGTTCAGAAAGTGCATAATGGATGGATGGACGGATGGAGGGATGGATGGATGGCAGAGTGAGGTGTCTGGATTGACATCTTCAAAACTATTTTTAAACCTGAAGCTTTTCGGAGAGAGATAGAGAAAGTCTCCTTACCCATGTTCTGGCATAGAAGGTTGCAAAGTCCTACACTCTTTGGGTGTGAAGACAATGTCCAAGTCATCTTCGGGAAAATCACCAAGCTCTTCTGCTAGTTCTGAGTCCAAGTTGTTCAGCTGCGTCATTAGGAAGCCTTCAAAATCTACTGGGTCGACTGCGTCATAAAAGGAAGGCTAATGAAACAAATAAAGAGTTGTTTATTTTAGTAACAGAAGGGTTTGTTTGGTTGTTTTTTTTAATAATCAGAAAAAATTATTATTTTCCATCTCTGAGAGTTACTGGTTTGCATTTTACTGGAGTTTTATTTTTACTGGATTTTTCAAGGGTCTGTACAGCAACTACACAAAAGATCAGATGTAACTATTGAAGTGATCATTGCAAACCTTAGATATCCACATTTCTACAACACATAGCATTGCACCTTGATGGAGAGCAGTTGTATTTCATTACATTTAATTAGCCTTTCTTACATCAACCATTTGATCCAGAACTAAGTTCAACAAGTGCAACCTGTGACACTTATACATGTTATGAAGCTGTCTTGCTCTTTTTATCTGCTTCTTCCCAAAAACAGAGGCAGAATATCTTGTTTGATATGCTACCTAGAAGTGCTCCACATACATGAAAATGTGACATCACATATTAAAAGTATTTTACTTGCTATATAGCCACCAAAAATACCCTGTATATGTGTAGAAAATAAAATATCTGTCCAGTTGAGTACAAAGACCGGCAACTCACATTGTTGATTGACTTGACAAATAAATCTAAAAGTTACAGCTTTAGAAAACCTGTAGTTTATATTCTGTGAGTTCCAGAAAGGCTGTGTAAACCTCAGCACAATAAGAGCACAGAAGAATCGTTACAGCATTAGAATAATAGCACTGAAATAACTTACTTACCAGTTCGAAAATTCTAGCAAAAAAAGCTATCAAATCAACTTTTCTGTGATTGCACTGATTAGCCTAAATACGTTTCGTAAGACTGCTTTCTGAAGCTGCCAGCAATAAATAGTCTGCACATAGACCAGATAATCTACTTTTACAGTGCTGATTATAGGGTAAGGGGAAAATAAGGCACCTGATGTCCCTGATATCAATGCTGCCTTTATATTAAATGTTACTGCAGCTACTGTCTCATCCAATGTGTTCTGGAGCTATCCTCCTAACACTCTAGCGTTCTTCTCCACATATAAAATCTGCAGGCCAAAATGATCAAGTCTTGACTCATTATTACTGAGTCCTACTTGTGCAAGGCTCTTGTGGAAGTTGCAGGATTTTCACCTGAGTATGAAGTGACCTCTGCACATAACAGCGTTATACCCACAACATCAGCTGAATAGGACAACATTAGCTGAATAGGACAATGAGGAATTCCACAATTTATGACACATAAAAAGGTGCTCAAAGTGGCAAAGCTCTTGGTGTCTCTGAAGTAAAATGGCTCACACATACTATGCCACGTCAGTCATTGTAGACTGGAAGACGAGTTAAAGCTGATCAATGGTAAATGTGAGTTTTGGAGCCTTTTTAGTGTTCTAGAAATGTAAGTGAGGAAGTCATTCAGCTAATAAAAATCCAGAAACATCTTGCAGAAAGTGAAGCATGTTTAAAAGAAATATGCAAAAAACATCTAGGAAAACAAATTTTTACTGTTAAAAAAAAATAGATGTGGTAAATACTACTGCAAATGAGGTAGCAGAGACCTTTGAACATATCCAACCACCACACCCACTCCCAGGCTTCCCTTTTATAGGGAAACTGTATCGGTCTTTGCATAAATGAAGTCTCTGAGCTCACCCCTGTGCCTGTATATTTAAGGGATCAATTGAATCTTCTGAAAATGCCTTTCTGAAAATCTCTCTCTTTTTTTCCTCTTTTTATTCAAAGGGAAAATCTAAACCTGATAGTACATCCAGTGGATCTTGAGGCAGCCAGCTAAAGAAATATACTGTGCCGTTAATGAATTTTTAGGTAAAGCACTGTCTCTGGTTTGTACCTACTTTAGTGCTGAGCATACTGGATTAATAGTTATAAGTAAATAATGACCTTTATTAGCTATTCTTTTTTTATTAATTGTCAGCATAATATACTTGAAATTCACTTACTGTACTGCAAGTGGGTACAATATTACATGTTAGTGTATAAATATATATATGAAAAGTTACTAAAAAAATCACAAAATAAGAAAATACAGCTTAAACTATACAAAAGCGTATTACAACTTTTCAGTTGCTGAAGACAAAATGTTTTGCATGAAAAATACTTTTGCTTAATACAATCTAATTTTTTATTAAGCATTGCACTTCCTTTCAGAAACCACACTTTTCCATTCTGACAAGTCAAATCCATTGCATTTCATTATGTCCTCTTTTTCTAGTTGCAGTGCTAATAATAATCTTTAATCATTAGAAATGTTTGCTTTTAACTATCATAAATTAGACAGAAATGTAAAAAAGATGGTGGAAAAGATGAACACAGATGGAGGGTAACGGTCTCCCTGACAACTGGTGCAAATTATCAAAAGAAAAAGAGATACTGTTTCAACTAAGAAGCCAGCACTCCTTTTCATACATCATACAAGTGTGCAAAACAACTACTCTACAGAAAACACCATAAATCATTACTGCAAACGTACCTTTTTAAGGATGATGGATTAGAAGCATGTAGATTGTGACAGCCCACAAAATGGCAGCTACGCCGTTAGTACCCAGGAAATGAAACGTTATCAAGTTTCTCAAGAGCAAAAGCAGTTGTCTGCAGTAGAAGAAGAGGACCTAGCCTCCTCAGGCTGAATAACCGCAAAGAGCAAGTTAAAACACCAGAGCATTTCAGATTAAGGAAGTGAGTAGTGGCAGGAGGCCGGGACACACAGGAAGTGAATGCTTACATCTAGTGTTTTACATTTCTCACAATCGCTGGTGCACAAAGACTTTTCTTGCATCTACTTACTTGGTCTCATAAAAGTAACAAGCAAATTTAAAAGGGTAGGAAGAAGGAGAGTATCAAAATCTTAGTCAGTTTTATTTATGGCATAGTATGTTTGCAGAATAACCATCCCCCTAAAAGGCAATTAAAAAGATCTGGCAATTTTTCCTGTTGTCGTAAGGGCAGTGTCATATGGTCCGACTTCTTTAGGGGAGGATGGCACATGGAAGGCTGACGATGATTCAGAACCACATAACAGTTGAATCAATTAGAGCTAGGCCGATCAGAGCACAGTTTGGCATTTCTCACCATGGTTAGTCTACAGCACTGAAAAACAGGTCAGTATGCTGTCTCTACTGCTAGCTCTGGAACCTGTGTATTAAGCCATGCTAGCTGAGCCTCTGCCTTTCTTTTTTTATCTTTACTCATGGACCTGTTCTTGCAAATCATCTGCAATGACCGCACAATGTATTTACCTGGTGGAGTTGAATGTTTCCAGGAAAGCAAGGATGTAATATACTCCAACACTTAATAACTAACTTTGATTTATAGTAGTATGCAGAAAAACTGTCTACTTCAGGCTCTAAGGACCATGTTTAGTTCTTTCAAATGCATAATTTTCTCAGCTCATCAGGGAGTGTTTTTTTAACAACTTCAGGCAGAAGCCGGTGGAAAGCAAGATAGCTTCAAAGATCACTTAATTTACCCTAAAAACATTAAGCAATGTAGATGCCAGGCCTATGTAAAGGAGAAAAACTCAGAACTTACCAGCTGAAGAGTAGAAAAGCCAGGAGTACTTAAGCTCCGTTGACAGAACTGCGCAAAGCCCGGTTGGAGAGTAAATTGCTTTCTTACTTCTGCAGAGGAGTGCCTTCAATTAAGCACAGAAAAACAGTTATAACTACGGTTATCCAAATACAAATTCCAAATGCTAGACTTTAGCCAATTTAGTCTCATGTCTCAGTGTTCAGAAACATAATGATGTTCTAGACCCCTCTTGATGCAAACCCATTGACAGTCCTATATAATTAAGATTCAGACACACTTCCAACAGATTTCTATCACTATATTGTAGTCCCCACAAGTGGGAAAGGTTACGCATGAAAGGATGACCTTGACCTTAAGTGAAGTGTGACTGCAACCTGTACAGCAATACTTGCAAATTAATTTCTGCAAAACAAGAATAGAGGCTAATAGAGCAGAGGAAGAAAGATGTACATCACAGATGCAAATATTTTAATGACCTGGTAATTGACCAAGGGATAAAAACAAGACAGGACCACTTACTGAACAATGTAAGCCCAGAGTTATGTTAATAATGCAGTCTCCTGTGAAAAGCAGAAGACAAACCAAAACATGAGTTTAAAAATCATTCTACACTGTATGAGCTTAATGTTTGAGGAAAAGACTTCTTAAGTGCTAATTAACTGATTTCAATAGGAGCAGAAAGAGGCCAGCACTGAATTCTTCAGAAATACCAGAGTGATAGTACAGTTGCATGTATCCAATCTGAAAATTCAGTAAGCAGAGTAGCTTGTTCATTTTTCATGGAACGAATAAATTAATATTTAATATGATTTAAGAATAGTCAGCCATGAAATTATAACAAAACATCTACAATATATTTCACCGTAAATATTCAGGACAAGATTTTGAAAATAACAAGGTACATTTAAGCAGATTCCAAGTAAAAAAAAAAAAACACAAACCTGCAGCCCACCAGGGCAGCCCACTGGGAGACAGGAAAATACAGACATAAGAAGACTTTCCCTTCCCTATGAGACTCTCTTCCAACTCCAGCAATCAGTAATAGGCATCTTAGAATTACCAGGTGCCACAGGACAGAGTTTGCCTGTTTGGTTTGTATCTTCTCTCCTCGGTGGGGTCTGGATTTCTACGACTGCTATACCTATTCTGTGACACTTAATCTCGAACTACTGCATTTCTTAACAAGCATGAGAAAATCTAAACTCTGTGGAATGGAATTCTGCTCCTGTTAAGAGACAGGCATCTGACAGAAGTAGTTGCTTGCAGGTCAACAGGCCACACCAGGTGTGAGTGGGACCTTGCTCCATTCTGCAGGCAGCAGCAATTGAAAAGAGCAAAGCCAAACTTACAGAGGAAGAAAAGAGATCCATTTCACAGAATCACAGAATCACAGAATCTTAGGAGTTGGAAGGGACCTCGAAAGATCATCCAGTCCAACACCCCTGCCAGAGCAGGATCACCTAGACTGGGTCACACAGGAACACGTCCAGGCAGGTTTTGAATGTCTCCAGAGAAGGAGACTCCACAACCTCCCTGGGCAGTCTGGTCCAGTGCTCCGTCACCCTCACAGTAAAAAAAAAATTCCTCATGTTCAGATTGAACCTCCTATGCTCCAGCTTGCACCCACTGCCCCTTGTCCTGTCATTGGACATCACTTAGAAGAGCCTGGCTCCTTCCTCCTGACATTCACCCTTTACCAATTTATAAACATTAATGAGGTCACCTCTCAGTCTCCTCTTCTCCAACCTAAAGAGACCCAGCTCCCTCGGCCGCTCCTCATAAGGGAGATGCTCCACTCCCTCAATCATCTCTGTGGCTCTGCGCTGGACTCTTCCAAGCAATTTGGAAGAGAAATTCCTATTCAGCATTGCTTCCGAAAGTCAGACCGGATTAGATGGGATTTTTTTAAACCTCATTCAATGATTATATAAGCAAGAAGCCATGCAGGGGGAAAGTGGGGAAGTCTGTACTTTCCTTAGATTATTTGTGCCTTCTTTCAAACTGGAAAGCTACTTGTCGATCAAAGAGATTTTTTTTCTGTCTTCCAACTACAAATAATCTCTGATCATGAATGCATGTAGCAAGGTATAACACAAACCTCAAATTATTCAAAACTACTATTTTCCTGCAAACTGAGTCAGTTAGAAACTGCAGAAGTATCTGTTACTGAAGTAAACAATAGATGTAGCTGCATATGTTGGTTTAATGTATGTAAAAACTGTGTTTCAGTTTATTGCAGAAGTTGCTGCTGTAAACAGTGCTATAACACCTCTGAAGTAAACCAGATATGAGGTCATCAGACTTTACGAACAGGAAGTGTTACAAATTTTCATCTACAAAAGAGGAAGCATACATGTGGATGAAGGGCTGAATTGCTGTCTGGTAAAAGCCTACGAAACCCCAGCTAACTGAGAGAAAATACATTTCTCAAGATCAATGAGGTAAGTTCCAAAGGCTCCCCAGTATTTAAAGAAAGAACCATCAAAATAAATCAGTCCACTGGAAGAAGTACCCTGTAATATATAAAAGTGAATTTCAAAAAGTTTGAGTAGTTAATTTGGTTTATTTCATCTTTTTCACATCACTGAAGGAAGAAAGAGAGAAGAAATACAATAAGAATAACAAACAATGGCAAAGTTAGTTTGAACTGACTCAGAAATGATTGGCAAACTCTACTAGGAATAAATAAAGGAAAGACACAGCTGCTAAAAGATGCTAAACTAAAAGCAGAAGTCAGCTCCCAGAACATATCTCAGTCTGCTCTGGTGAGACCTCACCTGGAGCACTATGCCCAGCTCTGGAGCCCTCACTTCAAGAAAGCCATAGAGCTGCTGAAGTGGGAGGGCTACAGAAATGATCAGAGGGCTGGAGCACTTCTGCTATGAGGACAGACTGAGAGAGTTGGGCTTGTTCAGCCTGGAGAAGAGAAGGTTCTGGGGGGATGTTATAGTGGCCTTCCAGTACTTGAAGGGGTCCTACAAGAAAGCTGTAGAGGGACTGTCTATATGGGCAGGTAGCGATACAATGAGGGGCAATGGTTTTAAACTAGGGCAGGATAGATACAGATTAGACATTAGGGAGAATTTCTTCACCATGAGGGTGGTGAAACAGGTGGAACAGGTTGCCCAGAGTGGTAGTGGAGGCCCCATCCCTGGAGATATTCAAGGTCAGGCTTGATGGGGCTCTGAGCAACCTGATGTAGTTAAAGATGTCCCTGCTCACTGCAGGAGGGTTGGACTAGATGACCTCCCAACCCAATGCATTCTGTGATTCTATGATTTTAAGATGGAGAAAAGGTGGGTGTTAGATCAGCACAGAAAGTTTTGAAAATCGGAGAACCAAACCAAGGTTGTTCAAGATAATGCCAGAATGGCTGCAGTCTGTGAGATGCCTGTTTTCTGATCAACAGCTATCTGAGACACTGTCTGGGTACCTGCAGGAAAATGGTGGTCTATGTTAACCTAGCACATGTGGTGTCACAGATTTTATCTAGGTTGCAGTTCAGCTATGCCAGGGCCACACTTTTATCATAACTGCCTGTCTGATTCTGAAGAGAGCTTTACAGTCACCCTTAGCAGTGAGGATGCGTCCAGCTATGTGCTCAAAAACAAGAACCAAAGAAGGAAGGCAAGTGGTTAAGGATGAATGCAAAACAGTCACTGAATAAAGTGAGGGGAAAAGATAAATATATCTCTGGAAAGGAGGACTCAAATAATCATGGGCCAGTCAGCTGGTTTATGACACTCAAAAAGATAGTAGAGCAAATTTCTAGGAAATCAACTTATAACAATTAGGAGCATCAGAGCCCAAACTATGGTGTCCAGTTGAAGCAAGGGGTCAATTAAATAATACATAAGATTAAAATGTACATCACCTGAATAATGCCAATTCATTAATAGTTTGATGATGAAGTGTATGGTGCCCAATTAGAAATTGTGTACTACAGTAAGCCGTGTTCCAAAAAGTTTGGCAATTATTGGTATAGAAAAGAAAAATAAGGTAATGATGAACAGCCAATATGTATTTATCA